GAGTTCAATTCCTAGCACCCGCATGATGACTCTCAAGCATCTATATCATCAGTTCTAGGGATGCAACACCCTCTTCTAGCTCTGAGGACCCTGCGTGTACATGGCACACTTACACAAATGCATGAGAACATTCGTACACAGAAAAATAAGCAAATCGGCCAGTGCAGTGGTGCACACTTTTAATCCCAGCACTTGGGAGGCAGAGGCAGGTGAATCTCTGTGAGTTTGAGGCCAGCCTGGTCTACAGAGCGAGTTCCAGAAGAGCTAGGGCTGTTACACAGGGAAACTCTGTCTCGGAAAAACAAAATAAATAAATAAATAGGTCTTAAAGAACAAACAAACAAACAAACAAACAAGAAGCATTAGCCAAAACTGTAGCACTAGGCCTGGGCCTTCATCTGTTGTGTAACCTCCTGCCAGTTTGCTTCATTTCCTGAGACTTGGCTTCCCTGCCTCTCCAAGGACTGACAGAAACGCTGCAGCATCAGCCGCTCAGGTCCCAGCAAACTCTCAGCTTCTGAGCCGGTGGCATTTTGAAGATCACAGAGCTAGACTCCTCGAGGAACTTGCCATCTGTTTGAGGAGACAAGTCTTGGCCGCACGCCACTAGCAGAGGACATTTCAAGCCAGTATGGGCACGGTGTCATTTAAAGACCTGGAGCCACTGGATGTGCTGAGAGGTTGGTTCTTAAAGCATGTCCCCAGAGTGGCAGTGTATGAGTTACGTGGTAACTCGTCAGAAGTGCATGTTCTCTCGCCATTGACGATCTGAGAGGCAGTCGACGTCTCTGGGTTGCTGTGCTAAGTCGTCATGTCTACCCAGCGTCTGTCCCCTGGTCCAGTACTCATTCCCCACCCCCGCACATGCGTGCTTTAGGAGTTCAGTCCCGGAAGGACACATGGGGCCTGCAGGAAGAGCTGGGGTTGGTAGAGAGAGAAAAAGGGGGATTTGAGGGAGGATGACAGTAGGACGGGAGGTGGGGAGGGGGCACGGTGGCATGTGTTTTGTTCAGAGAAGAAATCTGGGTGACTCCCAGTGGGAAGCACAGAGCTGGGACTGTGCAGGCAGGACCTCCAGTGCCAGGAGACACAGCAGACCTCAGGGACCCTGTGAGATGTTTGGACTTTGTGTTTAGTTTTTAGAGACAGTCTCGTGTAGCCCGGGCTGCCCTCAGACTCCCTAGTACACAGATGACCTTGAACTTCTGATCCTTCTGCCTCTCCCTTCTGAGTGCTGGGATCACGCGTGAACCACCAATCCTTGTTTATACGGTGCTTGGGATAGAACTGAGGGTTCATGCATGCTAGGCAAACACTCCACCAACAGAACTACTTCCCTAGTCCCTGTTACAAGATTTTGAGCATCAGTGTGACAATGGATTTACCAGCCAGAGTCTTCCTATGTCTCCCCGGGCTCCTAAGACAAATGCCAGTACTCAAGGCAGCCTCCAAAGCGAGGAGACCCCTGCAAGGAGGCAAGGAGGTGGGAGGCGGGGGAGGCGGGCCAGCACAGCAGGGCGCAGGCCTCCCCTCCTGCCTAGGGCCTCTGGAGCCCCAGCCCAGCAGGGCCTGATCTGCAGCCCCAGCTGCACTCTATACACAGGTATTGAATTATGAATGGATATTGCCCAGAAATAACTGCAAATGTTATTGCCCCCTCCCCCGCCCCAATCCACACGTGTGTCCTCCGCAGGGCTCGGCAATAGATTGTGTTGCTTTAACACTGTAGGGTCATTATAAATTAGAGCTATCATTGTAACAGCAGGGCAGCAGGCGTGGGGAGAGGGAATCCCGCCCGCCAGCTATGAAAGGGACAGACCCATCAACAGACAGCTCGCATTTCGCTGCCCTCAACTTTCCCTTCTGTCTGATATATTCCACCCGTCCCTATTAAATAACTAATTATTTAACATCTTTTAAAGCTTTGTTATGTATTGGAGCAGGCAAGACACAAATGAGTGCTTTTAATAATATAAAAGCCCATTAGCTTCATTTACTGTTAATGTTAAAATAAACATGAGACAATTTAGATATACTATTCCAATTTCACGGAAACTTTGATGTTTTTCTTTTCTAGTCACATAATTAAGGGAAAAACTACTAATGATATTAAGTTTGTACAGTGTTAATGACAGAAACAGGCACAGGCTGAAATTGCAGCCATTAATACGGAAAAAATAAAATATTTAACAGGGGAGATAGATGAGTGCAATTTTAATAAACCAAAATGAAGAAAATTAATTCTAGAAAGTTCCCTAGTCTTTCATACACTACCATTACACAAGCTGTCTCATGCATTATTTTTGTGGTCTGGGTTATTTATTGATGGTCCGGAGGAATGTCCTGGGTTTTGCGTATTGTTCTGTGGGTGGTAAAGATTTTTGCCTTTATTTGTTCAATTCTTCTCCGGCCTATCCCTCCTGCCACCACTCCTCGGAGTGAAATGGTTTTATTTACAGTGTACATTTTAGCAGAGGGCCCTTGCCAGCAGCATGGAGGGGAGACATGGGACTGGGGTGTGGTAGTCTCAGGGTTCCACAGTGAGCGCTGACCTCCAGGAGCTCAGTGGCCCTAGGTCAGTGGTGTTGGGGTGGCTACAGAGGTGACAGGTGACAGAAGCCCCCTGGTGTGTGAGTGGGGATATCCATCCACCTGTCTCCAGCACTCCACTGTAGTGGCCAGATCCTGTTATCCAGTTTGCCACTTGTAAAGGTGGCATGGTGCCCTCAGGGTCCTCTGAATGAGATCGCAGTTGACGATTTAGTAAACTTTTCTCAATGCTGTGATAAAAATAACCCAACAATAAGCAACCTAAGGGAGGAAGATTCATTCAAGGAGATACAGTCCGCTGTAACGGAAAAGCCAGGGGATGTGAGAGGGGGGCTGCCGGGCACACATGTCTGTAGTCAGGAAGCAGAGAGATGCTCAGCTCACCTTCCTTTGACTCAGTCCAGAACTGCGGCCCAGGGGATGGTTCTGCACACATTTAGGGAAGACCTTCTTCCCACCTCAATGTAACTAATGTAGGTGATGCTTCACAGACATGCTCAGGGATGTGTTTGATAATGGTTATAGATCATATGGAGTTGGCAATGAGGATCGACCGTCACGCTTGGAAACAGGATCATAGCAGGTATAACTGAGGATTGAGGTATAGGCAGAGGATGGGGCTCTGAATCCAAGGGTGGTGCCCTTATGAGAGACAGAAAGGGCAGAGATACTGAGGAAGGGTCAGAGAAGATGGCAAGATGAAGCAGGCTGGAGCGAGGCTGCCACAAGCCTCAGGGAGCTCACCTGGGTGCACCAGTGCAGAAAGAGGCAAGAAAAGGTCCCTTCAGAGGCAGCATGCCCCTGTGGACCCTTCAATCTCAGACTTCCAGCCTCCAGGAATGGGAGAGGATAAACCCGAGTTGTTTTTGGCCATGGAGTTTGTGGCAATTGTCCTGGTGGTCCAAGAAACTGCCAAAAAGCAGCATTGTGGACCCGAGTTCTGTCTCTAATGCACAAGACCTCAAGCACCAGGGCAGGACTGTTGCCAAGGGAACAGACAACAAGACAGACCAAGACCTGCGAGGAGAGGACTGGCAGGCCATCCAGGAGGTCCTGTGGTGGCAGAGCTGTGCAAAAAAGATGGTTTCGGCAGCAAGAAGATAAGCGAGGGGCTGGAAGATGGCCCAGTGGTTATAAGCATGTGTTCTTCTTGCAGAGGACCCAAGTTCGGTTCCCAGCACCTGCATTAAGTGACTCATAAGTACCCATAACTCCAGTTCCAGGGGAATCCAGGGAATTGTTTCTGGCCTCTGAGGATACTTGTACTGGCATTCTTTGAGGATATTTGTACTGGCATTCACAAGTCCATATGCAGACACATACATGCTTATATATGATTAAAAGAAATAAAGAAGGAAGAGGAGGAAGAAGAAACAGCAAGACAAATGACAGTTCAGAGAAAGAGAGAATGGGTTACATCTTAGTGGATCACTGGATTATTAGGATGCCTTTGTTCCAGGGTCAGTTTGTTAGGCGATTAGTGGGTCCCCACGGGGAGGATGACTTTGTTAGACAAACACACTCTGGCTCTCTCGCTTAGCTATGTCTTGGGATGGCCTTTGCTTTGTTCTAACGTAGCAGAAGACCCTCACGGGATATCAGAACTATACTCAGGCCTCTCAGCTTCCGGAACCATGAGATAAATGTACCTCTACTCTTTATAGATCACCCAGTCTGGAGGCATGTTGTTATAGCAACAGAAACCAGACATACTCCTATTGCTGGTCCCTGTCAGTCTTGTCCTCACTCTGGGTGCCCTCGTTAGCCACACAGTCCTTCTTTCTCAGAGGTCCTTTGCCCCAGACTCTTCTCAGTATTGTCAATAATTCCAGCTGTTTCCCTTGTTCCTCGGTCCTGCTGTCGCTGCCTTTCTTTCTGTCCTTCATCTGGACTAGGGAACATTCTTTATACCTGGCTAACATGACCAATGGCTCCTGGCCAAGTGCCTCCCTCCCACCCACTTTCTGCCCTCCTCTTCAGGGCTTCTCTTAGGCCATCCTTAGCCATGTCCTTTTGGGATGAGGCTGAAGAGTCCCTGCATACAGGTGTGGACTCTATAACCCTTCAGTGCATGGGCAGAAGGATTGCGGGCAGCAGCCACGGAGCAAGGGATGTGACCCTGGGAGCCAGTGGGGACCTGTGGGGAAGAAGAGTGGAGGATGGAAGCCAACACTCACCAAGCACCACCCATGGGTGAGACATGTGGTAAATACTACCCCCTCTATCCTCAGGGTGACCTTTGGGTTATCATATTGAATAATAAACATTGTAGGCTCAGAGATGTTGAACAACTTGCCCAAGAATGTAAGATACAGAACTGGGATTTGAACATCTTTCTTTATGGCTCCCAAGTTTTTGTGAGTTCAAATATGCTCTAAGCTGGACTTCAAAACCCTGCAGTAAGGTTCTGTAGTATAAGCCACTGTGAAATTAAGTCACTGAGCTGAAGATAAATTTTAGGTCATGTGTTTTATTCTTGCTCTCTGCTGGTAAACTGAGGCTCAGAGCAGAGAAATTTGCCCAGGGCTGTGACAGAGCCAAGACCAGATTCTGGATCTGGGTCACATGAAGACTCAACCACCATTTTGTCTGTTCAGACTTGGGATGTGAAAACTCAAGGGCTTGGGTGATCAGAATGGCAGGGCCTTGAGTTTGGTCTCAGAGTTCTTGTGTATTTCTTTTCTCCATGAAAGACATGGGTTTTACCATCTTGAATCAGAAGCTGTGGTCACCTGCAGGAGACCTTTGTGAGACAGGCCCATTTGCTCTCTTATTCACAGTGTTCCCAAGGGAGAGAACCTCAGGAGGCCCCCTACCCCTCCAGAAGGTTATCTAAGAGCCACACAACTGCCTGGGTAGAGACTCCAGGGATGTAACTGTCTCTAAGCTGCCCAGGAGACTTCTGGATGGTACAGCTGCCCTTGAATCAGCCATGTTTTATAATATCCCCAGTACAGGCTTTGACTTACCAAGATGGAATGGAGCCCTTCCCTGCCAGTGCCCTCTCTATTTGCAGTGAATAGCTGTGTCTTTATGTCTTCCCAGGAGAAGCCGTACTCTAGAAGGGAAAGGAACTTCAGCAAATGCCTACTTCGTCTCAGGCAATAACCACCACCTCTGGCCCCATGGGTCAACTCCATTTTACAGTGATGGGGAAAAGGGCAACAGTCTTTGGAACAAGCAAAAGAGTGATAGACAGGCAGATCTAGAACACCATTGTCTCCAGTAGAACAGCTTTCTGGCTGCCTGTGCCTTGTATTCTCTCTGGGCTGTTTTACAAAGCACGCGAATGACTCTTGGCTGTAGATGTAGACATGGGAATTAATATGGCCTGTTGGAATGTAATTGACTATCGCCCTGAGGACACTGCTACCCTAAGTTGGTCCATTTCCAGTTGCCTATGTGAGCATGCTCTTGGAATCCTCATTTGAGCCAGTTTTCAACACCTTACTAGTTTTCTCATCAATGCTACACATTGTCAATCAATGATACCTGTGTATCTGTGCAGTGGTTTGAATGAGAATGGTCCCCAGAGGCTCACAGATTTGAATGCTTGGTCTGCAGTTGTGAAACTGTTTGGGAAGGACTGGGAGGTGTGGCCTTGTAGGAGGAGGTGTGTCACTGGGGATAAATGTCTTAAGGTTTCTATTGCTGTGAAGAGACACCAAAACCATGACAACTCTTATAAAGGAACACATTTAACTGGGGCTGGTTTCAGAGGTTTAGTTCATTATCATTATGGCGAGACATGGCGGTGTGCAGGCAGACAAGGAGCTGAGAGTCCTACTCCCTGATCCATAGGCAGCAGAAGGAAAAACTATACTGGCCATAGCTTAAGCATATATGAGACCCCAAAGCCTGCCCCCACAGAGACACACTTTCTCCAGTGAGTCCACACCTACTCCAACAAGGCCACATCTCCTAATAATACCACTCCCTATGGGCCAAGCATTCACACACACTGGTCTATGGGGGCCATTCCTATTCAAAACACCACAATGGGCTTTGAAGCTTCAAAAGCCCACCCATTCCCAGTTAACTCCCTCTCTCTGCCTCCTGCTTGGGATCAGACGTCAGCGCTCAGCTACCGCTCCAGTGCCATGTCTGCCTGCCAGTTGCCCTGCTCCCTGCCATGATGGCCGTGGCCTCACCCTCTGAAACTCTAAACCTTCATGAACTTCACTTTATATAAGTTGCCTTGGTCATGGTGTCTCTTACAGAAATAGAAAAGTAACTAAGACAATTGAGGCAATCTGCATATTTATATTAAAACAGATATTTTTTTTTTAGCCTTTTAAGAGTGATTCCTTGGGGCTTGAGAGATGGCTCAGCAATTGAGAGCACTTCTTGGTATTACAGAGGACCCAGGTTTGATTCCCAGCATCCACATGGTGACTCACAACAGCCTGCAATTCTAGTTCCAATTCTAGATCTAGTTCAGATCTAGTCAGGGATCTGAACTGAACTTTTCAGACCTTCATGGAGACTGCATACATACATATGGTTCACTTACAAACATGGACACACACTCATACCTAAAATACAAACAAGTAAGCCATATCAAACGATTCCTTAATACAGATGATAGAACATAAAATCTACCTCACTTCCAGCCACAGTTTTTAAGGGCTACAGTCATGTTTTAAGCTCTATATTGTTTTCCCGACTCTCACCCCAAACCCAGCTTCAGGTCTGACTGACAAGAGTCCCAGCAGTGTGGCTATTGCGGAATATTATTTTCAGGTGTGTGAGGTTTGTTTATGCTGCATTTGTTTAATTCTCTGAAGCTGTGTTACTGTACCAGTTTAAAACTCCTGATGATCCTAATAAAGAGATGAACGACCAATAGCAAGACAGAGCAAGGATAGGCGGGGCCAGCAGGCAGAGAGTATAAATAAAAGAATTCTGAGAGGAGGAGAAGAAGGAGAGGAGGATATCAGGGGCCAGCCACGCAGCCACCTAGTCACCTAGTCAGTCACCCAGCCACCCAGCCAGTTGCGGAGTAAGAAGGACAAATAGAAATAGAGAAAAATAAAAGCCCAGAGGCAAAAGGTAGTTGGGATAATTTAAGAAAAATGGGCAAGAAACAAGTCAAACTAAAGCCAGGCATTCATAACTAAGAATAAGCCTCCAAGTGTGATTTACTTGGGAGCTGGGTGGTGGCCCCCCAAAAGTCAAAAGAGTAAAACATCATACCACATGTGGCCACTTTAACTTCTCAAAGGCTCTGTTTTCTACTATCTAATAAGAAGCTGAAACCTATCCTCCTTGTCTCAGAGACCCAATAGAGCCCTGTATAAGGAAGCACTCTGAGAAAGGGGCAAGTCCCGTGCACGTGTGAGCATAGAAGCCCTGTGACCTCTTTCAGGCCATTCGGTCCTGTGCTGGTGTACCCCTCAGTTAATGCAATTCCCGCCCTTCCTCCTCCTTCATCAAATTTAGTTATTTTTACCTGTATGTGTGCATTCCTACTTGTCTATATGTGAACCATGTGCTTGCAGTTCCCATGGAAACCAGAAGAGGGCATTGGATCCCATGGAATTTGAGTTACAGACAGGTGAGCCACCATTGTGGGTGCTGGGAACCCAAGCTGAGTCCTCTGAGAGAGTGGTAAGTGCTTTTAATTGCTGAGCCATCTCTCCAGGCCTGCAATCGCATTCTTGGCATCCTGCATCCTTATCTACAGCCTGTAGGCTCAAGCGCACAAGGTATGAGGGATTACCAAGTGCCCCAGAGAGGCCAAGCCTTTGCTATGATTTGGATCTTAAGTGTTGAGGGCTTGGTTACAATCTGCGGACCCTTTAAGAGGTGGGCCTGGTAGGAGAAAGTTAGGTCATCAGGAATGCAAGCACCTAAAGGAACTAGTAGAACCCCAGGTACGTCCTGTCTCTCTTTTGCTTCCTGGCTGCCAGGAAGTCATTTCTTCTATTGTGCACTCCCACTACAGTGTGCGGCTTGTTACAGACCATGAGCCGAAACAGACCTTTCTTCTCTTTAAGCTGATTTCTCCCAAGTACTTGTCATAGGCTGGAAAGCTGATGGACAGGCTTGGTGTCATTGTGCCTGTTGGGTCTACATTCCACTCCACCTGTGGAGGGAAGTGGGCAGGAAGTTTGGATGAAGGAGATCCTGTCCTCTCTCCCATGGTCCTCTGTGGGGCCAGGCTTCCCATTCTGAACTCTGCCCTTGTTTTCCCCCTGCATCCTTCAGCCAGGCCAGAGCAGCTTCCAGTTCTTCTTCAGCTGAAGATGCTCTCCCACCAACAGCTGGGCCAGTGCATGTGCACAGTGGGAAGGTTGCCATAGCAACTTGCTTTGACTCTTAGGTACTTTCCCAGCAATTTACAGGGATGGTGTTTCTGGGGCCTACCCATTTGGATGTTTCTCCAGGTGACTTGCTTGCACCTTCAGCTTGGCCAGATGAACAGGTCTGGACTGAGAGCAGAGGGCAGCCCTGGTCCCCACTCCATCCTCTATGGGGCAGCCCTGGCTCCCCACTCACACCCTCTATGGGGCAGCCCTGGCTCCCCACCCCACCCTCTATGGGGCAGCCCTGGTCCCCACTCCACCCTCTATGGGGCAGCCCTGGTCCCCACTCCACCCTCTATGGGGCAGCCCTGGCTCCCCACTCACACCCTCTATGGGGCAGCCCTGGCCTCCACCCCACCCTCTATGGGGCAGCCCTGGTCCCCACCCCACCCTCTATGAGGCAGTCCTGGTCCCCACCCACACCCTCTATGGGGCAGCCCTGGTCCTCACCCACACCCTCTATGGGGCAGCCCTGGTTCCCACCCCACCCTCTATGGGGCAGTCCTGGTTCCCACCCCACCCTCTATGGGGCAGTCCTGGTCCCCACCCTACCCTCTATGGGGCAGCCCTGGTCCCCACCTTCTATGGGCCAGCCCATGTCCCCACCTCTATGGTCAGCATTCCACAGAGCCTTAGGGCCAAAGCCTGTGAGAGACACTATAATTCCAATGGATGTTAGACCCAGCTACAAGGTATCAGAATCACTTAGGAGCCTTCAAAAGTTACGGCTGGGGCTGGCAAGGTGGCCCAGAGAGTAAGGGTGCTTGCCACCAAGCCTAATGATCTGTGTCTCATCCCTGAGACCTACTGGAGGGAAAGAATTTACTCCCACAAATTACCCTCTGATCTCCCACATGCATGCCGTCACATGGCCCTCAATAAATAAGGAATTTAAAATTAAAAATTCAAGCTGAAGGACCCCGCAAACATTAAATCAGCCTCGAAAGGGTCAGGTATAGCAAGGTGTATTTTTAAAAGCCTCCCCCAGGGACTCTGAGTGCCTGGTGGTCTGGTGCAGAACCTACTTTTTCAGAGAGATCTTTTTATGACTAAGGAGAAACTTTCCGGCACAGATGTTTCTAGTCAAGTTCAAGGTCACACAGGCTCTGGGAGTTGGCATTTTCTTGGGGAGAGGCTGCTGCAGGGGGTCCGAGGCATGGGGAGAGAGCACTGTGCTGCATTCCAGAACAGAGCTGGCTGTGAGCAGCCAGAAAGAGCTGCCAGCCTGGCTGAATGGATAATTAAACAGACAGCAAGATGGCAAGCGCCTCCCACCCCTCCCCCAGCTGGCTGGGGGATAATACACCCTCCTGTCGTCAGAAGGATCAGGAAGAAAAGCAACTGGGCCTGGCTGTTGGCCATTTCACAATATTGCTTTTGTAAACAAGTTGAAAAATCCAATAACTGTAAAACTTATGGCGTGTCCTAAAAAGTCTGTCGCCGTTTCCCCCATACATGGATGAGTGTTTCCAGCTCAAGTTGTCCCTAATTAAACAGTCCTATCCCTTTGGCAGCTGGGCCGTCCTCCAGGCGGGTCCATCCTGCCTCGACCTGAGAGTGGCACTGTGGTACAGCGTGCCGCCGCGGTGGTTTGCTGGGTTAGTAGCTGGGCTGTCTTTCTGGGACACATAACTCCTCCAAAGAGGAATCCGGCTCCAATACAGAGGCAAAGTGGGAGGATGGAAACAGCAGGAAGTCCCACAGAGGACCGTGCTCCCGGGGAGAGCACCCAGAGCTGTTGAATGCATCACTTAGGAAAAGTCTCAAGAGGTTACAACAGAGCACAGGATGTGTGTTTCCTGCTTAGAGAATCAATGGGTACTGATGAGGAAAGAACACACACACTCTCTACTCTCAGACACACACTCACACAAAGATACTCACAAACTCACCTACTCAGTGTGCCATTGTCACACTCACACATACATCATGCCCTTAATGTTACCCTACTCACACGCCCCGCTCTCCAGTAGTGACCCTGTTACATACAACCCTATGCATGTAGGGTTCTGTGCACATACACAGCCCATGGCCCCACACAGCCACACATTCACACACGTTTTCATTTATAATCATTCTGCACACACATCTTATGCACGCTCATACACACTCTTGTGCCCTAACATTCACATGCAGATTCACAGACACTCGTGTTCTCTACACAACTCACACTCACACTTAGATGCACTCATACATACATACTTACAATCTTACTCCTCTCTGCACTCACACACGTACTCTCACACACACACACACGCTTTGACAAGACAGTCACCAGGAAGGAACTAAGTCCTCAGGAACTGAGCCTGACGTGTGTGGACGTCACAAATACTCAGGGTGGCAGGGTTCCCAAGGCTACCTAGTCCCCAAACCAGCTTCACTCTGTCCTTCTTGCCCATCTGCTTGAAACTGAGCCGCCCTCACACGCAGAGGGCCCAGTCCTCTGCAGGGCTACCCTGATCCGGGCACTGGGAACAAGTTTTAAACAGTCCAGCTAGCTGGCCACAAGCCTAAAGCTCCCAAGGTCACCATCAGTCCTAGATATTTGCTTGGGAGATTTGCGTGTCCCAGGAAACAATATCAATTAAGTAGTTACTTTATTATTTTTGTGTATACTTGAGTACTTATGTGCATGTATGCACATGTATGTGTGCAGGTGCCTGAGGATGCTCAGAAGAGGGTATCAGATTCCCACAGAGCTGGAGCTACAGTCAGTTGTGAGTCATCCCGCATGGGTCTTGGGAACAGAACTGGGGTCCTCTGAAAGAACAGCAAGGGCCCATAATGGTTGAGCCATGACTCCAGCCCCAAGGAAACATTGTTCTAACCATAACAGCTTTTTAAGAAGCCATGTCAAATTCACATGGTGTGGAGTTTACACTGGAACCATTTTGAAGGGTCTGTGAAGAGTGTCAAGTCCACACTGCTGTGCAACCAGCATCCGACTTCCTTCCCTTTCCAAACCTGACATGTGTGTCTACCTGAACACCTCCATCTCCCTGTCCCCCACCCGGCAACCCTTGTCCTGCCTTCTGTCCCTGCGACTTTGCCTGGCGTCCAAGGGCTAGGGCCCAGCATGGCCCGGTCTATCCCAGGAACCCATGTCTGTGACCAGACCTGACAGAGAGGACTTTGGCACATACAGTTTGGCTGGATACCTGCGGGAGGGATCGCGAGGATCCTAAGACCCATCAGAAGGCATGTGGCGTCTGTTGTAGCACCTGAGTACGGTCCCAGAATCTTGTCAACAACTCGGTGAGATGGCGAGGCAGGGCGGCTTAATTGAATTGTTGAGTTCTAGGTAAAAATGAGAGATCCTGTGCCTGGAGAGGTGGCTCACTGGTTAAGAGCACTGACCACTCTCCCAGAAGACTCTGGTTCAAATCCCAGCACCCGCAGAGGGCTGTCAAACATTTGTAACTCCAGTTCCAGGGGATCCTACACCCTCTTCTGGCCTCTGTGGGTAGCAGGTGTTATGTAGTGCACAGACATACTTGCAGGTGAAATACCAGTACATATAAAATAGTTGAAAAATAACGAGAGACCGTATCTCAAAAAACAAGGTAGATGGTACCCAAGGTACACACGAGGTTGAGAGAGTATATTAGAGAAAAGGAGTTGTATTTCCCCAAAGCTTTGGAGTCACCCAGACCTAGCTTGGGACACTAAACTATCACTGATGGACCAGGAAGGATTGCACACAAAGGAGCCAGGATCAGGAGATACAGGGAGTGAGTCAGAGAAAGGCTCACCCACAGAGGCAGGCTCGGTCAACCCACGGTGGCAGAGAAGGGCATAGCAGAATCCTCGGAGTCCGAGATGAGGGTAAGACACAGTGATAAAGACCCGCTAAAAAGGAGACCCAATGGCAGAAGCTTGCAAAAGGTAGGAGATGGAAATGCTAAGACAGACAGATGGACAGAGGATGTCGTCTCAGGCTGTGTTGAGAGAAGACAGGATTGAGCATGAGCTGTGGTCAGGGAGCTCAGAGGCCAGGAAGGGACTGGGCCCTGCCACTTCTAATCTGCAAGACTCTGGGTTCCTAGGTCCCTTCTCCTCTGGACCCCTCCCCCACTCCTCTGCCCCAAGGAGGGAAACCCATTTCCCCAGGAACAGCTGCGCTTCCTCAACAAACAAATGTCGCCTTAAAACGTCTCTGAGGAAGAGCGGGTGGTAATGAGCGAACATCTGGCCAGGCCCACACTCTCGGGTTTGGCGGCTCTGGAGCCTGCCAAGTGACTATTCCCTAATGTTCACTGCGTCCCGGCACCTGCTATTCCCAATCAAGCTCATTCCCTGGTGCTCAATTAAGATCAGATACAGGCTGGGTGCTGGGAGGGAGAGCATGGGCCCGTGGCATGGGCCACTCGACTTCCCGAGACTGGCAGCGAGCAGACTGTCTTCTGGTGCCGCACTGCTCCACTCCATCCATCCACCAACTCTCTCACCCAGCTCCCTATTGTGAGGCCACGCCCTTCGCTCAGGGCGCCCCGGTCTCCCAGAAAGACACCAGCTCTAAAATGGGAATCAGGCAAATTCCATCTTTAAGAAGCTAGGTAAAGAGTATCTGACCTCAAAGCAATGTCGTCCCTGCCACAATTGTGTACGTGCATGTGTGCGCATGCGTGCGTGTATGCGCGCGCATGTATGCATCAGCAGATACATATGTGGAGGTCAGAGGACAACCTCAAGTGTTCTTTCTCCTGTGTCATCTATCTTTTGTTTGAGACGGGGCCTCTCAGTGTTCCTCCAGTAGGCCAGGCTGGCTGGACAGTCAATTCCTGGGGAATTATCTCGGCCTCCTGCCTCACGACACTGGGATTATAGGTGTGATCCATTTCGTACAGCTTCTTACACAGGTGGTGGGGATTTGAACTTCGGCCCTCCTGCTTGTGAGGCAAGCACTTCCCCAAGTGAGCTGTCTCCCCAGCCTGCATGTTTGGTCATGTGACGGTATCAGCAGGCACAGCCAAAGCACTGGTTTCTCCTGAGCCTGTGTCTGCAACAGTGCTGGCTGGGCTGGCATGGGGCAGCGGTGCGAATTCTACTTAGCACAGACAAGACCCTGGGGTCGTCCCTGGTTCCAAAAGGAAGAAGTAAGGTAGAAGCCTCAGCCTATGGTGATATCTGCTGACCCCAGTACAAGACAGCACCCTAAGAGGAGGCAGCCACATCATCTTGAGTGACCTCTGTTGTCTGGCTCTTATT